TCAGTACCTGAAGTTCTCCGACAAATCCGTCCTTGCCCTTAGCCGAAGTCAACTAACGACAATCGCAAGCTGGCATTCCGCTTGTTTCTTGCCCATGGCTCAAACAGCTTCCCAGACTTCAGTTTGGATGCCTTGGGGAGCAACCTCCTGCGTGAAATCCACTTCTTGACGAACGGTTCCTGTGCACTTCGTCTCCAGTGTAATGGAGATCTACAGAGAAACACAATGCTTCACTGCCTAGCGCCTGTGCACATGCTAGCCACTGTCATAGATCTACATGTACCGTTACCGTGGTTACCTGTGTGATGAAACTCATTCATGATTGTAACAACATTACACGGGTACGGTATAGATGCACAAGAGACTCAACTTCCCAGTTTGATTCCTTGTGCACGTGGCTTTTAAAAATGCCAGTTGTTGACTGGTTGGTGTAGGAGTAATATGCACGAAATCTACGGAAGCGTCGCGCCAACAGCATGTCATGGGGAACCGGAGGAAAGGCTCCACGGAACATGTAGTGTTTTGGCGAGCTTGATCGTAAGAGACTATCCCGAGCCGCTGGTGGCTGGAAGAAGAAGGCCCTGCGCTACGTACCAAGCTATATTGATTGTCCTCGTTGTTCTGTACTAAGCTATAATATATAAAAAAGCGGCGAAGTGACAATAAGGATCGCAATAAAGTTAAACAGAACCAGCTGAAACGACATTATACGGAGAAAATTATTGAGTTTGTCACGAAACATTCTAGAGAAAGTGGTGCCGGTGATACTGATGAACAAAGAAAGAACTAAGAAGGAAATGTATTGCGAAAAGCAATACTAGGAACGGTGAAAATTGACTCAAACTAGCTTTCGCACAACGCTCATAAGGAAGCATCGTTGAACTGACTAACAAATTCCAACACCAAGACCATTACAGAGGATGCATACAGTAAGATCGGGCGCCGAAGAACACCTCGCCGAAGAACACCCAGGCTGGAAAACCGGCAAAATTTAAGAACAGTCCAGGCTAGAATTATCAGATTTAAGAACACTTTTAAAATTTGGAATTTCCAAGTTGCGAATTTACACGTAGATCTACATTGTACATGTATCATGTGTATGGGAGGTGAGTGCATGTCATGTACACGTGTAAACAGTAACTGCTACATGTGCAGTCATTCCCATTTACGACACCCACTAGTTTAGAAGTACTACATTGCACTACATGTACATGACAAACGTCATGACGTCACTCGACTCGCCGCGCGCGCGTGTGAATAAGAACGGTCTGGCTAGAATCAAAATTTTAAGAACTAACGGTTACTTTCCTAGGCTGCGCTCGAGCCCCTGCGTTCTTCGGCGCCCGATCTTACTGTAGTGCATATGAGCGCATATGGCAGGATGTATAGCCTCTGGCTGAGGCGTGGGAAGGTCAGTGAGCAGAGGCGCATCCGACTGTATAATGCCCTGGTTCTGCCTTTTCTTTTGTATAACTGCGGCGCATGGGGGCTCACGGCAGCACAAGCAGAATCACTTTTAAAACGTATTCCACCGGAAGCGGCTCATTGGCATAGTCTACCCAGCCAGGATATCAAATACTGAGCTGTATGAGAGGTGCAACACGGAACCACTATCTGACATCGTGGACAGGAGAAGATGGCAGCTAACCGGCCATATTCTCCGTATGGACAGGGATGCGCCGCCATGGATCGCGCTGACGGGCTATTTTGCAGGAGATGCCAAGGCTGGGCGTGGACGTCCAAGGACATCCATTGCGACGCGCATCACAAGCGACTTACAGAGAAGGAACATCGACTTGAAGCGCAGCAATCAGCTGGAGAATGTGAGGGCCATCGCTCTGGACAAGCCTACATGGAGAAATCTGGCCGACAATTCATGATCTGACGTCACAGGTCATCATCAGTGCACCGTATTGTTCATAATTATCTTGATAATGGAATTTGATCATAGGAGATAGGACAGAAGCGGAACGTATAATTATATCCACATAAGGCCAAAACAAATAATGACCTTGTTTCCGGTCGCCCGACCGGGCCACTTTTTCCCAAATTCTGAAACTTTTTTTGGTCCCAAATGTATACAAACGGTGGCAATGCCATGTGTGCAAGTGCACTCGACGAGTCATAACTCAGTCAAATCTCAACCAAATTCCACAATCGAAACACCTACAAGGTAGCAGAGATTCTCAGCTGTCGGCTCGAAAACCTCCGGGGTCGATACGAGCTAGAATAACGGAGCTGGAAGGACTCGAACTGTTTGCTTGATTTCTCAGGATGTACGAAAACAGAAATACACCACATGCTGGACAACAACAGTGAGTCAGTCACTTTGACATTGATCCTTGCCATGATATATGTACAATGTACATGTGTAGGTGCTCTTGTCCATCAATACCACAACGATTGAGGAACCAAAAAAAGTATCCAAAAAAAGTTTCATTCCGGCCGACCGAGTCTCCTTTTTGAGGGGTTGCCGACCGGAAACAAGCCTATTTTTTGTTTTGGCCTATAATTATTACGCGTGCTGTGGTATTATTATTATTATTATCAGAGTCAAGTGAGAGTTCAAGTCGGCAGGAAAATCACGAGCTCCCACATAAGGAGTGACACATAGTCTAGGGTTGCTCATGGATTCTCCGATATGGTTATCAGGATTATGCTGGTCTTTCTTCGCTCGAACAATTTGATGCGTGCAACCATTCCATAGCATCAAGTATCACAAGACGCACTCAGTTTTAGTCACATGCAGTGTGCATGATGCTTTGCGTGGAAGCTATTATTCAGTTGTTTCATGCCACCATGCACTGCACTCATTTCACATTTATCGTAATAATCGACATAATTATGTTCTGAACAAATATGTTCTCTTGTCTAGCATCAGCAATATAGAATGGTTGCCGCACAGTTTGTCCTCCTCGTTGCGATGTTATCACAACCATTTAAAGTTTTTATTGGATTGGGAGGACTTCAAAATTCAAAGGATCAGTCGGAGAGTGATCTACCTGAAAAGAGAAAAAAAATGCCACACCCACGAGGACTCGAAACCGCAACCTTGCTTGTTATGAGCAATGTTCTAACCATGTGAGCTATGGGGCCAGGCCAAATCTACAAGACTAAGTAGAAGGCACTGACAAGTTTTTCACTCCAACGGCAGCTCACAACACGTGCCACACATACTACCACGCTCGGAAGCAAGCTTATGCTGAGCCGCATGTGCCGCACCCTCACCGCCCACAAACCTCTCCTTCAGCTGTGGCTGGGATGCCCGAGCTGCAGTGCGGACTTGGCGTTTGGCGATCTTGGTAGCGTCTACCAAACCAGCTAGCGAGGGAATTGACTTCACAATCCTATCCCTGAGCTCGTGAGAATAAAGAACTCAGAGCTCATTAGCAACAACTCGGGAGTGGGCATAGTGGTGAGACTGCGCGGTGTGAATTGCGATACCCAAGCCGCCATCCCGACACACGAAAGAGAGCATAAGCCGCCACAGGACGGAGGGAGGCGACCAGTGAGGGATGGGATGAGGCGCTCCCTGATGACGGCTTCCAGACCACCAAACTCCTCAGATGATAATCTTCAAGGTCGGGGACAAGAAGGACCACTTGCCTTTCAGACCATGGACAAAATGCGGAGTAGGCGGCCTGGGGTTGTGTCTAGGCAAACTAAGATAACCGTGACACCTGACGTGTCCAGTTGCATGGTGACCTTTGATTCAACGAAATTTCTGACAAACTCTGGGTTGCCCAAAAGCCGCTCCCAGGTGACGACAGCCATCTCTGAAAATCTGGACACCAGTCCCAGCAAAGCGTGCAATTGCCTCATCATATGCACGCTCCTTCACTAGCAGCTAGGGTTTGCTAGCGTTGATGTGGTAGCCATACGCTTCTCCTTGTTTGGTTAGTCCATCCCTCCAGGTGCGGAGGGCTCGAAGTCTTCCACTGCCGGAAGAGTTATCCGCGTACCACACTTGGGTGATGTCGGGTGAGCTGACTGCCTAGACCAAGGGTATGATGCCGTGGGCGTACATCAGCATCGCCACCGGATCACCCTGGGTAGTGCCATCACAAGATAACAGGCATCCAACATCCACAAAGAGCTTGGCCAGATGGCGGTAAGTATTGATGATAGCGGGGGCCAAGAATGGGCAAAGGTGGCGAATGTTCCTTACGCAAACCTGTCGGTTGAGTCGATTAAACGCGTTCGAGGCGCCAGCCAATAGCACACAATCCACCTCGTCATCGTCGAATACATCATGCATGCAGCATGGCATAGATGGCCGCTTCGATACAGCACTCTTGTCCAGCGGGGAGTTGTTGTGTGCAGCAGCCTCCTGGATCTGATTTCCCATTACCGATAGTATGGCTTTGGCCACGATCCTTCTGACGACTTCCCCAATACCGTTGGGGCACACCCCTGGCTGTTTATCCAGCTGGATCAGGCGGCAGGCAGTGAGCGCTATGATCGCCATGGCACATAACAACGATACTTGCGAAGTCATGTAAAGTGTACGCTATAAAAGAAGACAGTGATCAGCATCCTGGAAAGCGCTTTGCTGCGGTTCCAGGCATTTATCTACATGTACAAAGTCATGTACATTCAGCACAATGACTTATCGGTTACTCAATCTGCGGACCAAACTGTTTCGTCCTTTGTGGACTCATCAGCGCAGCACAGAGAAAATCAGGCCGAAACTGATAGCAATGAAAAATAAATTTTCCAAAGCCAGAATTAGACCAGGCCCCAACAAACTTGCCAGAGTGCTCAAACCTACTAGCATCGGTTGTAAATCTACATGACTTATCGGTTATCAGTGACTTGTCACAAACTGCCCACAACACGGGACTAATGACAAATCAGATTTCATGAGAATTGTGGAAGACCTACAATCATGTACATGTAGTTCACACCGCGCTTCTCTGTGTGTATGTGACAGCGTGGATAACGTCGTTGCACTTGCCGCTCTCTTTAAATACTTTCCTGTTCAGCCACTGGAGCGCATT